TCCTGCTTCTGTCTCAGGTATTCAGACATTTGAAAACAATTCTTATATTTTCCTTCTCTTCTCATTTAATAAAACAGAATGGATTTGACCGCTTATGTTTCTCTACAGCATTGCCCTTTTCACACCTCTGATGTTCCCTTGAGTCTTTGAGGGTTTTTCTTGTTCTTTCCCTCCGCAGACAGACAAGACGATGACAGAGCTGGAAATAGACATGAACCAGCGCATTGGGGAGTGGGAGCTCATCCAGGAGTCTGGCGTGCAGCTCAAGCCCCTGTATGGGCCTGGGTACACTGGTATCCGTAACTTGGGCAACAGTTGCTACCTCAATTCTGTGATGCAGGTGCTGTTCAGCATCCCAGACTTCCAGAGAAAGTAAGTGAGCTTAATCACTCCAATAGACTGGGATCCCCTGGGATCGGTACAAAGGTCTCCTAGAGCTGGGAGCTTCTGTTAACAGTAAACTGGCTCAGAACTGCATTTTTACTAGATGAACCTCTATGTCCCTTAGATTGCTCTGTTTTGCTTTGCAGGTATGTGGACAAGCTGGAGAAGATATTTCAAAGTGCACCTTCGGACCCCACACAGGACTTCAGCACACAAGTGTACGTAGAGTTTTGGTGAGAGAAGGAAGGCTGAGGCTGCCTGGGTGCGTCCCCTCTGCGCTGCTACAGTGTGCTTTGCTGCAGGTTTCTCCCTCAAGCCTCGCCTCTCTGTTTCCATGTCCATCACCAGAGACACTGATCCTCAGTGATCAATAAGGACCTAAGCCAAGAAAGTTCAGCTGAATACCCTAGAGGGAGAGGACAGGGTGCACCTCAGTGTTCCTGAGAGGCTCTTAAATGTATGATGTGGGGAACGCAGTACCATCTGTTACCACGGGGGGATTTCTGGTAGGCATATTCTATCTGTGTAACAGCGAAAAGGTGCTTGCTCTCTGCAACAGAGGGAGATGGCTAAGAGCAAAGAAATACTTAGATTTAGGCAATTTTATTCTCAGTGGATAATTTAAAGAGGCTTCCTGCAAGGGGTTTTGTGCAAGCAGTAGCAGGAGAATACACAGAAGAAGGAACAAAGGATTTGGGAGAGTGTTGCATTTTAAATACATTAATTCACCGCTCTAAATACATTAATCTGCTCTAAAACAGCAAAGCAGTATGTGGAGGTTTGGGGTGGAGGAGTGGAAGGTGGCATTTGTGGAAGTGAGTTCAGCAGTAAGGGAGGATTCTAAATTTGGACAGCCTGGGGTGAGGTGTTCACTGAGGAGGGGATTAAGTTGAGACAGCCAGAAAGATTTTTCCCTGGGCAAAAGGAGGAGTTGGTAGGGTTTGGTTTCAGACAAATGGCAACTGTGATGGGGAAGGACTGGAGTGAAATGGCATAGTAGGAGAGGGAGCAAATTACTGAATGTTACTGTTGTCCATGACTGCCTCATGCAGTCATTCTTGATCTTTCCCCTGGAAAAAGTGATCAGTTGCTCACAGCAATGGTATTTCTGGCTCAGACAGTTTCACTCTGCCCCGTTGTCTCTTGCACAGTCAGTTAGATACAATGCTACTTTACCATGTCAGGCTGCAGCTTAGTTTGGCTGTTAGGCAGCTGTTGTATGGCTCAGTACCAGCTGCCTTTCTGCAGGGAAAAGGAAGCTGTTCCTTTATGTGCTACCCAATATGCAAGCAATGGTTGAGATTGGTGCCCAGAAGTCCTAGTAACTTTCAAGTTGATGATGTCTCATGGGACTAGAGAGCAGACTAAGATAAGATGATCTTGGCTGGTGCAGCAGAGAAAGCTGATCTCTGTGAGATTCGCAGTCCCATGGCAGTATTAAAGCTGGATGGGTTGATGTGGCTTCTGGAGCATGTGGGATTGGAGAAATGATTTTGATGCTAACAGTGACTTCTTCATCATTCCAGAGCCAAACTGGGCCATGGACTGCTTTCTGGGGAGTATTCAAAGCCAGCTTCTGCAGATGGGGAACAGCAGCCTGATCAGAAGGTGAGGTGTGGATACAACATCCTCATGATGTGTGTGTTACATGGGAAAGGAGGGAGAACCCTTTCTGAAGACATGTCCCGTGGCTCGTTCCATGGCTAAGAGTAGAGTGCTACATGCCAGGACACATGCTTGGCCAATTGTGACCACCTTCCTCTTCCACCTTGTTATTTGCAGGGTATGCAAAATGGCATTGCTCCACGTATGTTTAAGTCCCTCATTGGAAAGGGACACCCAGAATTTTCCACTAACCGGCAGCAGGATGCACAGGAATTCTTTCTGCACTTCATTAACATGGTGGAGGTAATGGTTGAGTCTATCTGTCAAATCATGGAAAAGCCCAGTTTTGTTTTCTCCCCACAAGCAGGGGGTGAGGAGTGGAGGTGAGAAGCTGGCAATCAGAGCAGAGAGAGGGAGAGAACACAAGGAAATGGGCCAGCTAGCACCTGCGGGAGCAGAGAAGGAGAGATGTTTGGCCATGTTTTTGGAGCTGATTCCTTGGAGGATTCTCTTTTGGGAATGGCACAGCTGAAGATATAAATTGTCTTCTTTAGGAGCGGGAATGGCATGGGTTCCTGCGGTAGAGAAGTTGTCTCTAGTTTACTCTTTGCTGTCTTTTCCAGTGTACAGAAAGTGAATACTCTTTAGCCATATGCTGTGTGGAACTGGTGCTACTGCAGATAGTTATTTCTGCCGTTCTTCTTATGCTTCTAATCTCTCCGTCTTCAGAGGAACTGCCGCAGCTCGGAGAACCCCAATGAGGTCTTCCGTTTTCTGGTGGAGGAAAAGCTGAAGTGCCTGGCCACAGAAAAGGTGAAATATACCCAGCGTGTGGACTATATTATGCAGCTGCCTGTGCCCATGGATGCTGCACTCAACAAAGGTCAGTAATGTTCCAAGGCCAGAACAGTAGCAAACATTATGTTTGGATATTGTACTTTTATTACAGAACTCCTTAAATGAGAAAGGGACTTCCTCAAGGACTGGCTTTGCCACTTTTGAAGCCAGATCGATCGTTCACCTGCTTTTGTGGGGTTGGGCTGTTTTCCTCAGAGGTGGTGTGACACGGTGGTGACCTTCTAGAACCTTTCCCTCCGACAACACAAGTTGGGCTGTGATTCAACAGCAAAACAGGACTGCAGTAGCAGAACGGTGCTCTGGAAGACATTCTCTACTTTGTGCTCTGTTCTTGATGGCGTGTGTCTATAGCCCTATTCTGCCTTTGAGGGTGGCTTACACCAGTTGCTTTGTAGATGCCTAGAGGTGGTCCTTGACTCTCCTGCTTTACTCTCTAGATGAACTACTGGAATATGAGGAGAAGAAGCGGCAGGCAGAGGAAGAGAAGCAGCCCCTGCCTGAGCTGGTGCGAGCCAAGGTGCCTTTCAGCTCCTGCTTAGAGGCCTATGGAGCTCCAGAGCAGGTGGATGATTTCTGGAGCACAGCCTTGCAGGCCAAGTCTGTGGCTCTCAAGTGAGTGTGTGTGAGTTACCAGCTAGGCTATGACAAACTGACAATAGCTGCATCTTTTGGGACTTCTTTTAATTGCTTGGGGAAGAAGCATTACCAAAGCTTTGTGGTCCTCCACACCCTGGGCCCATGGAACATTGAAGCAGAGGGGGAGCCGGTCTGCCAGCACTGAAGTGATTGCCCCCAGGGGATTACAGTGGGCAGAACAGCAGTGCTAGTGAAGTCCTCACCATCAGATTTCAATAGCTATGGGGCAATGAAAATACAGTGATATTCCAGAAAACTATCAGCTTTTATTCTAAATTTAAAATTTAGCTTTAAAATCGATACTGATAGTATGGCAACACTGGTCTTGCATGGTCTCTAGAATTTCTTTAAAGGAAGTTTTTAGCTATTAAAGTTTGAGTAAAACACTGAGTGTAACAGATGAGTGAGTTATTGTAAAGAATGCTAACTTAAATGCTAATAGGAAGGTTTAAAAATCAGGTTTAATTTGTCTCACTGTCTGCAGCACATGCAGCAGTGCAAAGGTGCAGTGAGATTACAAACTTAAGGAGCTTCCTGCTGTGATGCTACTGACTGTTCCTCTGCAATGAAAACTGTAGTCCTCAAAGAATTGGAAGTGTTTTTCTAACAAATATTCTGTTACTAAGCACAGCTACTGTAAACGAACAGTCAGTAATGCGATCACGTTGGAAAGTACCATTTTTGTTTGCTTTTAAGTAGTGAGTTGTGTTCGAACACTTTGTAAGAACAGCATTGAATGTATACTGTTGCTTAAATTAATTTTGTGGCGTGTTACAATTATCCTCCAATAATAAGTATCTGTCTCTCTTATTACTGTTTCTCCCTTCACAAACAGTCCCCTATGTTTCATAGATTCCAGACACCCTCTCTCTGAAATTGTCTAACTAAATAAAGTTCAATCAAATTCAGTTAGCTTAAAATTCACTGCTTCTTCTTTGTATCCGTAGTGCTCTTGTGCTTGAAAGCTTGTCAGTTCCTGCAGCTGTATCTGTCGATCTAATAAAAGATGTTATTTCCTCTACATTCCGCAAGGGTTAGACTTTTAATTAAATATTAAATCTGAGGAGGCTTGTAAAATACAGGATTGGAATGTAGAGAACATGTACTATTTTTCCTCGTCCCCCAAGATTTTGTACATGTTGCATTTCATCTCATCTTGTCAGAGCATCTGCTTTAGAAATGGTTCTGTGTTTGAGGAGCTTTACGCTTAGCATAGGAGAGCTGCGCAGATACATGTATCCCCCCCTTAAGACGCGCCTCTACCCTACTCACTGATTGCTTGAATCAGCTAGGCACCCTCAATCATTGCTGCCAAAGTATTTAAAAGTATTATTTATCTCTTTCAGAACGACACGGTTCGCCTCTTTCCCGGATTATCTGGTGATCCAGATCAAGAAATTCACTTTTGGTCTGGACTGGGTGCCCAAAAAGCTCGGTAAGAAGGATGAGAAGTGTACAGCATATAAGTATTGGGAGTCGTACATGGGCATTGTGGTCATTACTGCAAAGAGGAAAGTAACTACCCCAAAAGGAGATGCAGACTGTAGTGTATTGCATCCCCAGGGACTTACCCTTCTAGATCTCCCAGCTGAGTCCTTTGTTTCTGCCCCTATCGGGAGGCTAAGCAAGACTGTATCTTGCAGATGTCTCCATTGAAATGCCAGAGGAGCTGGATATCTCTGCACTGCAGGGAACAGGGCTGCAAGATGGAGAAGAAGAAATGCCAGACATCGCACCCCCACTGGTGACACCAGACGAGCCCAAAGGTAGCCTGGGGTTCTATGGCAACGAGGACGACGACTCCTTCTGCTCCCCTCACTTCTCCTCTCCGACATGTTAGTGATTCTCCTCCTCTTTTCCTGATGCCTGACTCATTTCCTTGCTCTCCTTGCCTTGTCTCCCATGCTAGTGGTTTCCACCTGCTCAGACTTTCCCTGTCCCTCTGTCAGCAAATGCCGACTGCCTCCCTTGCATGCCTGTTATGCAAGGGTGTTATGCAAGGGAGTTTGTTGATTCCTGTTCTGTGGAAGGTGGGGAGGTGGCATGTCTAGTGTCCTTAGAGGGGGCAGAACTGGGGTTTATACAAGATTTAACTGGCAGAGTTATTTTATTTTCACAAAATGCAGTGAGAGATAGGGTTTGGAGGGTAGGGAAGAGACGGCACTCCTGAGTTCGTGAGTTGAATCCTTTTGTTCCCCGGGGTGTCTGTGCGTGAGACTGCACTTCTGAATAAGAAAGGTAGCAAAGGATGAGAAGAGCAGAGAGACAGAACTTGAGCGAAACAAAGCCGGAAAATGTTGGCTTGGGGGGCTGTGTGACACTGCACAAAACGGAGCAGGCAGGGCTGGGTGGAGTGGGTGGCTCTAATCTCTGTCTTCCCACAGCACCCATGTTGGATGAGTCAGTGATTATCCAGCTAGTGGAGATGGGCTTTCCCATGGATGCCTGCCGCAAAGCTGTGTATTACACAGGGAACAGTGGGGTTGAGGCTGCCATGAACTGGGTCATGTCACATATGGATGATCCAGGTACGAGACCACATGGCCATGGTGAAACTTATTGCATTTGGGCCACTGTACTTCCTGTCCCACTACTGCAGTGGAAAACTGAAGTAGTTGGGACCTCAGACTGTGTCCCTTTCGGAGAGATCTGACTCCTCTGAGCTATGTTCTGTTTCCTGCTGCAGACTTTGCTAACCCATTAGTTCTCCCTGGATCCAGTGGACCAGGGTCAACTATTGCCTGCCCAGACCCTCCTTCAGAAGACAGTGTGGCCACCATTGTCTCCATGGGTTTCTCCCGGGACCAGGCTATGAAAGCACTTAGAGCCACGGTGAGACGCATGGGTGACGTCAGAGTGAAAGGAAGTTCTCAGGAACAGGCATTCCCAAGTTCATGGTCTTCTCATCTTCCTTCCAGAACAACAGTCTGGAGCGTGCTGTGGATTGGATCTTTAGTCACATTGATGACCTTGATGCAGAAGCTGCTATGGATATCTCAGAGGGGCGCTCGGCAGCTGAGTCCATCTCTGAATCTGTCCCCGTGGGTCCTAAAGTGCGCGATGGGCCTGGGAGTGAGTTCCAAGCAGTAGGAATGCGGATTTTGGGGTGCAAACTCAACATGGCTTTATCCTCCCTAATCCATGCAGTACCACAGGTTTTAGCAGCAGCAGCTGCCACAAAGCTGGTCTGGTTGTTGAGGCAGAAGCAGGGAGGAAAAGGAGAGGGATGGCAAAGTAGGTTCTAGACCCATCAGGCTGGGGATTACCTGGAATTCAGTAAGACAGAGAGGCAGAGGAATCGTCATAAAGAAAAAGACGGGAAGGGCTGTGCTGCTTTTTCCCAGTCACCCGGGAGCTTTTTCTGTTCTTCAGGCTTCCATTGAAAGACCCGGTTCTAGTCTCTGTGCAGAATTGGTGCCAACACTGCTAGGCTGCTGGTTGCCACAGGGAGGGGGAATCTGTCATTACCCACCTGGCACCCATGGGCCAAATAAACAGTTGGAAAAGAGAAGGCTAAGTGGCGGTTACCATCTCCTGTTTCCCTGCACATTTGGCCTTCAGACCAAATCCTCACAGTCACACTTGACGGAGACCCACTTCTAAATGATTACCTAGCAGAGATTCCTTCAGGGATCCTTTTCTAGAGAGCGCCTTGCACAGGCTGTTTTGGGGTAAGATGCCTTTCTTTCTCTGATCACTCCTCTCTTCCGTTCTTAAGAATATCAGCTGTTTGCCTTCATCAGCCACATGGGCACTTCGACTATGTGCGGACACTACGTTTGTCACATCAAGAAAGAGGGCAGGTAAGAGGGATTTTCACAGTGTAAGGGGACTCTGAGGTACAGCTTTAAATCCCTGTTTCTTCAGAGGTCTTGGGGAGGGGTTGGGGATGAGAGCAGGCAAGGGTAATCAAGTCATGTCTTAGCCACAGAATGGCATCCCTGAGTTCCCCTTCTGCCTGTTGCAGGTGGGTGATCTACAACGACCAGAAAGTCTGTGCTTCTGAGAAGCCCCCCAAGGACCTGGGCTACATCTACTTCTATCAGCGGATTCCCAGCTAGAACATCCTCTTTTCTGTGTGTGGTGGGGGGAGAAGGGTGGGCTGAAGGCATTGGGGGGAAAGGGGTGGGGGCAGTGAGGATGAGAGCAGGGTCCTT